GCATGCAACGTCGATCGAGTGCAACCCAACTGTATCGTTGGCAGTTTTCGGCTCTCCAGTTTAGAGTAGTGGATTTGCATAAATGTATTTTCTGTTAAATCATCAATGTCGTGCAACGATTAAACCCATGAGTTTTTCTTCTCTCTTGTGAATATCTACTTTATCCCGCAATCCCTCAACTCCATCGCAGGTTTGGAAAAATACTCCAGACGCCGATTCGTGACACTCTGACAGAATTTCATTTCCGTGGATATCTTGAAGATGGTGATTATGCGGTCATTGGACAGTTAATAAATCTCTCAAAGTTATCAGTTATCTCTTCACTTTATGCAACCGATGAACAGCTTATGCACTTAAAAGTCAGTCCATATGTATCACTATTTAGCCGAAGTTCGTAGCAAAATACGAAAGTGGTGAACAGGAACGCCAGGTTTCGTATTCTGGTTGTGAGCAGAACGAAACGCAGAACTTTTAAAAAACAAATCTGAAGTTGTAATATTGTGATTTGTTCATTACAGGTTTTGTCCTTTTGCGGTGTATTGTCCTTTTTCTCAAAGTAGTATTTCAGTCACTTCGCAACTTGGAGCATCTCCACTTCGATTGCTCCGGACCGGACTGTGATATCACTACTGAAGGCCTTATACGATTCTTTGAACATCCTGCCGAGAACGCATCAAATTATTTTCCGTACCGTCTCAAATATTTGTCTTTCTTCGAATGTTACAATTTCCACGCTGATGTTGCAAAAGCACTTGTGAAAAGGTATTGTGTCGCCATTATTTGATTGGTTGAACATCTTTTGTGGAGTCAGCTCAATCGATTATATCAACTCAATACCGTTTTCAAGACCCAGATCAAACATTTTCAGTGTATCTCGAGCAAGCAATTCATGAAGTTACTGACCTTAAGTGATTATAGAGAATCAGAGAAAAAAAATCCGAATATTCGTGCGGTCACCATCACTAAACTGTTCTGAAAGATCAAACTGATTGATATCCTCGAAAGAATCCAGTCTTGTAGCATGCTTATCATTATGAGGTGTAGACAGGCATTTAAGATCGCTTCACCCGATGTGACCATCTGAGACAGTTCAACTGATGAATTTGGTTGCTGTAGACCAATGGTTCTCACAAGCGAGGTTGGGGGAGTGGGTAAGGGCTGGTGATTTACATTACATAGGAATGTGAATAAGATTGCTACTGATACAGGCCGTGCAACATTTTTGATTCATTTGAAATTCACAGACCCGTTATATTTTGTTTGCTTATTCGCGTCAAGTGTACTTCAGTTGTCCACAGCTCGTATCCCTGAACGTCAGCGGAAATCGCCTTATCCTCGAGGAAGGCTTAACAATACTCATCAAAGGTTTACCGTCAGTTTTTCTAAGCGTTTTTTTCCTTTCTCAATCCTTCTGACAGTACGTTCAGCTCCTAGTAAAATTAGGTCAGGGGTATTCAAGCATACTTCAGGTTTTCGAGACCTTCGACCCTGCACTTATTTGCAGGGATTCCGAGCTCAGTTCTGCCCCCTGACCCAGCATTAGTATACGGTGCCGTCGGCAGCAGACGAGTTATCCCCCGAATCAAATTTTGAGCCAGTGCTATATCCTATCTTTTCTTCATCAAAATAGACGTACTCTCGCATTGTAATGTTCAGAAATCTCCGATTCATTGACATTTCGAGAATGCACGAAGAGGAAGGTGATTTCAATGAAATGGATGAGCTGCAGTTTGATGTGGTGCGAAACTTGTCTGATGAGGACGTACCTCAACTCCAGTTTCTTCAGTCTCATTACAATAAGGTGATCATAAATGCATCGTTATGTCAATATATCGTAATTTATCATGACTCAGTAACAAAGGCTTATATTAATCAGAAAATGTTTCGGATGCGGTGGAATTGGCTAAGTGACGATTTGGTGACTCCACTGCAAACCTTAAGATGTCAGCGTTTGCTAACTTAGGGCGCAAATAGACATATTCCGACAGACACCGTTGTTGGGTGTATGTTTCACTCATAATTCGTTATCGCGAGGATGGTCTACTTGACAAAATGTGATGTGTTATTGTGTTCAATGTTTCAGTTCGATCAGGAGATTTTTTGGAAGCTGAACATGAAACGTCCAAATTTGATGATTACGACTAGACGTGATTATTTCATCAACTGGGATATTCGAGATGGAAAACCGTTCTTGAATGATGATTTCAAAGGAGACATGAATCATTTACTGAATGACCTCAACGAATGTGACGGTTTTTGCTGCATGGGAATGCCGTATGTATGGTTTGCTTGGTGATTTTTTCGTTCGAAAATACTGACAGTTGAATTGGTTTATCATCGCAGATTTTAGATTCTGAATTGCATTGTTTCCCTTTGTCTGGCAATTTTAGATTCTGACATTTCATCTCATGAATTGTGTTGTTTCGCTTTCAGTTTGATGTTTTTATCCTTTACTGTACGAAGGAAGTGTCCTTGGATAATGCTCACGTGCGTCTGTTTCGCACATCATCCGCACAATTCGGTCTAGTTCAATCCGTTTTTTCTTGATGAAATAATTGCTTGAAGGGAAGGAATACTATTTAGGGATGGGTGATGAAGTAAAGGACAGTTGGTCCAACTTGATGGTAGTTCCCTGTGAATACTTCTGCTCAGGACGTGCTGATAATGAATTTATCTCGATACACTGATGATATTTTCTGACAGTATTATTGATAATTCCACGACAATAACTGCTCAGGAACCACAGCTATTCATTATTCGGTACTAAAGACGGATCGTTTAACTATAAGCATCCCTTAACTGACCTGGACATGTAAACATTTCGACTGCATCTGCGCTCTGAAGCCTGGATATTGTAATTTAGTGAAGAGCTGTGTTAGAATTTTGGTTGTAGGGAATGTCAATTTTGTTTCGGCCCTTATTCGCTGACATCTTCTCCCAGGTTATGCACGGGCCATCGTCACAACGATATGCATAACGTTGTTAGAAATAGAAATGAAGAGGAGGTAAGATTTTAATGAGAATACGAATATTGACTGATTTTATAAAAAGGAGGTAGACGTGGAAGACTCAAAACTGGGAAGGAGAATAAATATTGTAGATTGTAAAGGTGAGATGATGTAATAGGTAATATAGAAGATTATAGAAGATATAGAAGATGTGTACTGTAAGTTATACGTTTGTGAATGGTTATGTAATAATGAATAGTGAAGGTTGCCTGGGTGACCTAAGGAGCATCGTTCTGTATTCTGGGGCATTTGCTACTGGGTGACGGGTATTCTTCCACAGATCTGTTGCTCATTGTGCTGCAAGGTTGAAGTGGAATGGGTTAATCGTTGTGGTAATTGCGCGAGAGTTATCACGAACAGCTATGGAGTAATGTGAATGGTTGGAAATTATATTATGAATATTGATAATACTTAAAGATGTTTCCCTATTGTGGCGGCTAGGGGTTGATTGTGGTTGTATGTGGGTACCTTGTCTTGACTTGTAGCCGTCAGATAACAACTTATAAAGATAAATTGGTAATAAAGTAATGATTAACAAAACAGTTCAACAATAGACGAATAACAGAGATAATATAATATTACTTCAATAAAAAAAAGAAATTGGAAGATTATCAAGTGATTACAGTAAAACGAAATATTATTCTTAACGAAACGATATCCTCAATGTGGTCTCAACTAGCTTAACTAGCTCAATGATAAATGAATCATTTAACAGAACCAACAGATCGCCGACGTTGATGGTTGAGTTGAATTGTCCAACGAAGTCGATTGTAATTTATTGATGAAGATGATTTGCTTACTTGATTTGGGAAATTATTTAATTAAGCCGGCCTGTGCGTTCAATTGTTTGCTTTATTGATTCGTTATGGATTGGAGTGCGATTGATTGGGAGGGATGTTTGGGAAAGGAACTTGGGTTTTGACCTTATTTATATATTTGGGACAGGATGTGGAAATTTGGAGGTGCACTATTTAATTACGACCTTAACTCTTTTGAGATTGGATGAGGGTAATTAGGTGGTTGTGGGGTTTGAGAAATTCACGGAGCTTGATCCGAACGACGACCACGAGTTGATTTGAACTGTTCGCGCTTATTCACAAAGAAATGACACAAT